CACAATTTGCTGTTTAATACTGCAGTAATCTAGACTTGCTAAACATTATAGACTTGCATGGGCTGTATTGGATATATTCCTTTCAGGGTCTGTAAGACAGACTAGTGTCGTCATTATGATAAGGTCATGTCTCTACAACATGGGTATGCTGGATGACAGGTGTTAAGGCCACTATCAGGTATCACAGGTCAAAGATGCATGCCAGATGCGAGTACCAGTGATGGCCTAGATTGTCCAAGCTGACACAAGATGGTAACAAGCTTCACTCAACGGCTGCTTGAAGAACGCTGTTTCATGTTTGTCTTTCTGAATACTACACATTGCATGTTGGTGCAGGGATGTGGTCAAGGGGTCAGCGTCTTCAAGTTTTGACCATCTAACCAATCACTCAACTTGAAACTATTTGCAATGAAATAACCCCCTGTGGGTTGAGTTATCACCTGGTGTGTATATGTCGTATATCACATCAACACATCGTAAAGCAGTGCGGTGTCTGCTCATCACCTGGTCACAGATGACGGACATACTTTAACGTGTGTCCATTGATGTAGATAGTCTAGCAGTGTCTACAGCTTGTAGGAGACTTGAGATAGGGTCAGCTAAAAAAATGTGGTGGAGCATATTTCATGGTAACATCAACCCAGTGGGATATAATATGTGATTACGGTCGCTATGGTTGCTTTGAATTTGTATCGTAAACACTTTGCACATTATGAGTGAGTGATAAGTTGGGCTTGAAATAATTATTCAGTTGCATTACGGCAAAGGATAAAGAATGATCGTTGTCGGCAGTCACATTCATGAACCCCGGTCAGAAACATATCCAGGATTTTGAAGAGTGTGAAGGGGGGTTGGGGGGGTGGGGGAGTGGGAGGTTCACCTGCCTAATTCAAATCACAAGGTTGAAAAAAAACACATCAAAGAGGGGACAGACACAGGTTGATATGTCAGGTGTCACTCCTTGTCACCACACCCACAACAAGCCCAGCCTCCCTCGCTCCCCCGCCCTGGCTCTCCCTCCCCCCATCTCAATCTGTCAGTGCAGATCTTGTAGACGAGAAACTTGAACACTAAGTACTGTCTGCCATCATTGCCATGGTGCTACCTCAAGAGTTGATATTAGAGCAGCCACTGTTACCATGGTTACAAAGTGTGTATTTGTTGTTGTGATAGTAGAGTGAGTGAGTATGGTATTATGCCGCTTTTAGCAACATTCCAGCAATATCACGGCGGGGGACACCAGAAATGGGCTTCACCCACTGTACCCATGTGGGGAATCGAACCGGGGTCTTCGGCGTGACGAGTGAACGTTTTAACCACTAGGCTACCCCACCACCCGGTGATAGTGGAAACAAAGGCTAGAGGCTAGTTCCACTATGAGGGTGATTGCTGCATTATGGAAAGAAAGTATCTTCAGATGAATATCAGAGTGCCGTTGTTCAAAACAACCCTAACACTACAACTGTCATAAGTCTGTGTTAAGATATGGGAGTTACGATCACCTTAGTGCTAAGATCGCTTTGTTCAAGGTCACCAAGGACCAGAAGAGATTGTGTGTCAGGCAATTAGCAAATGATAATAATTTGCTGTCTTTTAATTGCAATGTAGTTTCTAATTACAGAGATTAACCAAGAATCATATCATTGACCATGGTCACTGACATGCCATAGTGTCACCCATGTCATCATTTGACCTCTTTGACCTCTTTGACCTTGCTAATCAGTCCTCAGGCAAGGGTGATATTTTATTATTCCAAGGCAAATTTAATCTGATAAGACCTTCTGAGTCTCAACATAGAACTACATGCATTGTCTCCTTTGTGTGGAAGAAAGTCAATTAATCTACAGCTGTGAAGAAAATTACATATCATCAGTTTTAAAGTGATTAATTAAATAACATACAAACCCACAGCTTGAATCAGCTGAATGTCTCAAGAATAGTCTTGCTTGACAACGGTATAAGGATCTATACCAAAATGTCACCTTTCCAGTAATTAGAGAAGTTGTTATCCATAAATTGTGTCTACTTTGTCCCAAGAATAGCTGCAATTGTTGCCCAGTAATGAGTGGGCGTTTGTCAACAGGTACTATATGCCAGACCACTACTCAAACACAAGTCTGACATGGGGGTGGTCAGATGACTTGGTCAAAGGTCAAATCTCACTTGACCTTTTCATTGACATGCTAAGCCAAGCTGCAGCTGGATGCGGATGAATTAGAAATGAAACATTAAGAAAGAAAGATGTCTGTATCCCTTGTATGTCTTTGCATTATTTATAATGATGGATACTGAATTAAAACAGTATGTTTTAGATTGTGTGCTCAGTCTTTACAATAAATAATTACAATTATCTTTTTATAACATGAATAAAAAAATTGTGTTATATCCTTAAAAGAAGTTAAGGAACACCCAATTTTGTATATGCCTATAGTTAATCTGTCATGGCTGGTGGGCTTTTCAGCACATGCCTTCCAATTTTGGGTGTTCTTTAACTTGTTTTGAGTAGTATATTACACATTTTGTACGAAGCAGTTTCTTCAATATGAATACCAGTGAATTTTTCACAAGGACATGACTCTGCACTTCAGCTAAATTCCACAACAAAAGATTATAATTCTAGATAAATATAGAGTTTCATGCCATGAGACCGCCTCCGTGGTCTAGAGGTAAAGCATCTGCCCAGAGAGCAGAAGGTTCGAGGGTTTGATCCCCGGCCGCATCATACCAAAAGACGTTAAAAGATAGTATTTGATGTTACCCTGTCTGGCCCTCGGCATTAAGGGACTAAAACAAGGACTGGTCGTCTCGTAGTCAGTATACTGTGTCTGAGTGGGGTATTCATGTTAAACTGTGGCAAGGTATCTCAGTGTGCTAGCACTATAAACCAGCATCAGTCCGGACTAGTACAAGCAGCCACATACACACACACACATGTGCATGCACGTCGCTATATAAGTGCAATAATCTTGGACGCAAGGACCTCGGCCACCAGCATACAACCTTTGGGAAGCCATTATGAGGTCTTCCATTGAAAGGGTCACACACACTGACTCAAGGTCGTGCTGCCAGACACCTGGGGTATCTGTACCCCTGAGAAACAGATACAGGCCATCACACTGATGTGTGAGGCAGGACTTTTTAGGGATTAGACCAGAAAGCTCTTTCGGGACCATGAAGAGCAATTGTGTTGCCATGCTGGTCTTTGCACGACCCTCAATGGGTTGGTTTTCCCTTGCCACTTGATATTTGGTGTCTGTCTGGTTTTCATATACCTTCTGGTAATCTCATGGCTTGTGAAGTATGTTCTTATTTGCCTGGTCTGTGAAGCATATCATGCAAGACAATGACTTGTAATAGGATTAGAGAGGGTTCTGAGGATTATATAGTACTTGTGATGAAATCTTCTAGGTGATTAAATGGATGGCTTACTTGATATAATAAACCACTACTTTGAAACTTGATGGTGTCTTGTCGCTTCATGAAGCTATTCGACCTGGAGACTGCGTTGAGAACAGAGGACTGTTACTGGTTGCAGTGAGCTTTGATAGACCTTAATCCCCAGGATCAGTTGATGTGTGGGCTTACTTGATCGCTAGTAAACGCTGATAAACACTGATGTTTACACACAACACAAAATTAACATAAACATGTATGTTATAAATTTTGACTGTGTGGTATTGATGTCTAATCTTCTGTTGACAATTGAAGTTAATCCAGTTTGATGTTCATCGCAGGATAGCTTTTTAACTCGAAATGGGAATTTGTAGGAAGGTGTGATATATAAATATGATTACCGGGAAAGGATAAAAAAGACTATATAGAACATTTTATATTCCCCATACTCAGTCCTCTTTTATATCATTGTTACCCATGAAGATCCGGGTAGAACAGGTTTTCAGCAACTCATGCTTGCCGTAAAAGGCGACTATGCTTGTCGTAAAAGGCGACTAAAGGGATCGGGTGGTCAGACTTGCTGACTTGGTTGATGCATGTTACCGTATCCTAATGGCCTGGATCAATGCTCATGTTATCAATCACTGGATTGTCTGGCCCAGACTCGATTATTTACAGACCACCGTCATATAGCTGGAATATTGCTGAGTGCAAACAAACAAACAAACAAACAAACAAACGAACATTGTAAAATGTTCTTTGCAAGTATTTTTTAACTGAGGACATTGATAACTGTTGCTTGTACACATTGATGTTTGACTTTGGATGTTAATATACAATTGAATGTTGAGTGCTGATGTATTTTTGAATTTTTTTAAACCACTGAATTTTTTTAGATTAAAATTTTGTTTATCATCCTTAAAATAAGGACAATGGTATTAAAAAGATTTTGCTCACAGAATTCCATTCTGATTTGGACCCTTCAATGATATATATGATTTTGGTAAAAAATAATTAAGACTTAGATATAAAAAATATTGCAGATGCTCATACATTTGGGTCTGCTACAAAGCGTAATTACTGCATTTGTAGTGTGTAGAATGTGACCATGTCAGTGGAAAGATTAGTACTTGTCATCTCTCATACAGACCCTAAAAATTCAGTAACTGATATCTCCAAAGCAAGTTTACAATACTTCAGGATTTCAGATCTGTTAATTTTCTAGGGCACTGACTGATTGTCATCCCCAAAAGATATTTTTTAGTTTGATGATGTGGAAGAATGTGCCATCAAAAGTTGGTAAAAGCCTGAAAGTGTCTTATTGCCATTTGTCTCCTCCAAAATCACTGTACTTTGGCAAGTCTCCATTTCCTTGGTGTCAGGAAAATGAAGAGATTCTCGGGCTCTTTCTGTTAAGCATCTTTAAAATCTTAAAACAATATTTTCATTTCCTTTGATTAGTCTTGTGTCATGGCACTAAAACCTGGATCACTTCAGGCTTTCCTCTAACATTTAGCTGACATGCTGTGATATAACTGGAATACTGTTAAAAGCCGCATAAAACCCAACTCACTCTTGTATCATGGCATGTTTTTTGTTTGTTTCAGGAGCGTGACTTTGAGTTTGTGGATGAGACTGTGAAGAGGACGGTACGAGAAGCAACTCTACAGGATGACGAGGACTTCCTTCATGATGACCCTGGGTCAGGTCAGGAGGAGGGGAGTGGCACAACCACACCCACGCCCCCCATCGGAATATATCCTGGTAAGTGTAACCTCTCACATACAGGCACAGTGGCAGGAGGTAGTTCCTCCATATATCATTCTGAAAACTCAAGGATTGTTTTGGAGATTCTTGGTCAGGTGATATCACCACATATCATCCTGAGAACTCCAGGGTTGTCTCCCCTCGGGGATTCTTGGTTAGGTGATATCACCACATATCATCCTGACAACTCCAGGGTTGTCTCCCCTTGGGGATTCTTGGTTAGGTGATATCACCACATATCATCCTGACAACTCCAGGGTTGTCTCCCCTTGGGGATTCTTGGTTAGGTGATATCACCACATATCATCCTGACAACTCCAGGGTTGTCTCCCCTTGGGGATTCTTGGTTAGGTGATATCACCACATATCATCCTGACAACTCCAGGGTTGTCTCCCCTTGGGGATTCTTGGTTAGGTGATATCACCACATATCATCCTGACAACTCCAGGGTTGTCTCCCCTTGGGGATTCTTGGTTAGGTGATATCACCACATATCATCCTGAGAACTCCAGGGTTGTCTCCCCTTGGGGATTCTTGGTTAGGTGATATCACCACATATCATCCTGAGAACTCCAGGGTTGTCTCCCCTTGGGGATTCTTGGTTAGGTGATATCACCACATATCATCCTGACAACTCCAGGGTTGTCTCCCCTTGGGGATTCTTGGTTAGGTGATATCACCACATATCATCCTGACAACTCCAGGGTTTTCTCCCCTTGGGGATTCTTGGTTAGGTGATATCACCACATATCATCCTGACAACTCCAGGGTTGTCTCCCCTTGGGGATTCTTGGTTAGGTGATATCACCACATATCATCCTGAGAACTCCAGGGTTGTCTCCCCTTGGGGATTCTTGGTTAGGTGATATCACCACATATCATCCTGAGAACTCCAGGGTTGTCTCCCCTTGGGGATTCTTGGTTAGGTGATATCACCACATATCATCCTGACAACTCCAGGGTTGTCTCCCCTCAGGGATTCTTGGTTAGGTGATATCACCACATATCATCCTGACAACTCCAGGGTTGTCTCCCCTTGGGGATTCTTGGTTAGGTGATATCACCACATATCATCCTGAGAACTCCAGGGTTGTCTCCCATTGGGGATTCTTGTATTGGGACATGCACAGGGGATGACATTCATGGAAAGAAGACACTAGCAGTATGTACAGTGAAGTATAGACTCTACTAGCCAAGTTTGATTACCACCAGTCCGACGCATGAAGCATTCTTGTTGTCAGATGGGGTGTGATATACACTTGTTGAAGCATGTCATCGATCCCAATTGCATGGATCGATGCTCATGATATCAATCACTGGATAGGTTGGTCCAGACTCGATTATTTACAGACCGCCGTCATGTAGCTGGAATATTGCTGAGTGCGGCTTTAACAAACCAAACCAAGCATTGCCACATTACATTATATGACATAACGATGGAACTTAATAGTAGCCATTTATCATTACGATAAATTACAACATAAGGGGGAATATAATAGTGCTGGATTAATGCATGGACAAACAGGGTACAAGTATCAGATGGTCACCTTTCAGCATTATGTAGAACATTATAGCATACCTCTTGATTCTTGATTCTTAAGGGGAAATAGAGTAGGTGATAAGACATGTATACCACATGGAAGTGTGGGGCTGTCCAGGGAGACTGTTGGACCTCTTCAGAATGTTTCATTACAACATAAGGGGAAGTGATATTTGTGTAGGTGATAGAGCATTTATAGCACATGTAATTGTGTTGGTTTGTCCAATGAAGCCGGCAAGTGTAATAACCATTTGGACAAGGGGACGTAACGTTTGTGGAGTGATAAGTCACATATACCATGTGTGATTGTGTTGGTTTGTCCAATGAAGCCGGCAAGTGTAATAACCGTTTGAACAAGGGGACGTAACGTTTGTGGAGTGATAAGTCACACACACCATGTGTGATTGTGTTGGTTTGTCCAACGAAGCTAGGAACTGTTATACTGCCTTTGGGAGGAATTTGTTGCTTTGGGCACAAGGGGACATAGATAGATGTAGCTGATTAAGCAGGTATACCATTGTGAAAGTATTCGTTTGTCCAATGAGGTGAAGTTGGGGTACTACTTTAAACACCGTAAGGATGTTTGACTTAACATTTGTTTGCCTCACTTGAGCAAACATGACCACTTCAGACATTACATTTCATTAGCACATTGTTGGACATGAAACCTGAGGTTATATAACATGTGTAACATTGTGTGTTGTTTAATGCTGCACTCAGCAAAATACCAGCAATATGATGGCACCTTGTCATGCCAAGTCATCTAGCCTACCCTCCGATCCAATCTCCTCTTACGACAATCCTAGGTTGCTGGGGACTTATTCTTTCTTATCCCGAGTTCCTACACTTGACCTCCTTAATGTTGTGGCAGGGTTAAGTTCAAAATCATTGCAAATATCATTCTTGGTGTGTCCTTTGAGGTCTGAAATATTTTTAGGGGTAGCTTTATAGGTCTACAGTCCATTTCTTGTCCATGTGATGGTTGGCTGGCCTTGTGGGTAAAGCGTTTGCTCATCATGGGGAAGGTCCAGGTTCAATTCCCACATTCACACGGTCAGTGAAGCCAATTTCAGGTGCCCCCTGCCATGATATTGGGGGAAAACCAACTCATTCACACTAGCTTACTTCTCGACATTGTAATAAGTGCCTTGATAACGTTTCTTTGAAATTTGGGGAATTATTTAATACCAGATTTAATGAAATACTAAATGAGTGAGCTGACAAGAGCAAATTCACTCATTCAGTTTCATGGTGCATTATAGCATCACGGGAATAGAGTCGGTAGTATTGGCATCACACCATCATGGAATAGAGTCAGTAGTATTGGCATCACAGCATCATGGAATAGAGTCGGTAGTACTGGCATCACAGCATCATGGAATAGAGTTGGTAGTATCGGCATCACAGCATCATGGAATAGAGTCGGTAGTATTGGCATCACAGCAACATGGGAATAGAGTGGGTAGTATTGGCATCACTGCAACAAGGGAATAGTGTCGGTAGTATTGGCATCACTGCAACAAGGGAATAGTGTCGGTAGTATTGGCATCATTGGTATTTTTCAAAACAAAATTACAAGTGCCTGAGACCCTTTAAACTATTTTGTAAGTGTTGCCTCACTACAGGGTAATGTAATGTGAGGGTGGAAATAACACACTTTGTTTACACTCAATGTGCGAGAGCTTGTAAAGATCAGTTACCAGATCAAAATGACTCCAGTTTCTAACATTTCTTAATGGGACAAGAAGAATTGAGGCAGGCAGTGTGTGTTCTTTATCTGCAGAGAGTCACAGCGGTTCATTTTGCTCGGGAAGCTGATGCAGGTTTAATAGCTCTCTGGTACATTCATCTACTGTGCAACGTTATTAGAAATATCTCCTCCATGTTTTTGTCTTCGGTTGCCATGACACCCAAGAGTCTTTTCATATTCCTGGAAGTTTTTGAGTCAGGTAGGCTTCGCTGGCAGCCAGATATGAGAACTGGAAGAGAGTTACCATCTGTCCGTGGGGCTAATTGCGTTCCTATGGTGCGACTTTTCATGCTCAAACACCACAATATTGGCCAGGGATTTGGGAACACTTGAAAGAGTGATTCAACAGTTTCGGGAAATGCATCGAATGCTTTCTCTTTCAAAACAAAGTTTGGAACCAGTATGGTGCAGTGTTGAATAGAGTGAGAGAGTGAGTTGGGTTTAACGCCACTTTGAACAGTATTCCAGTAATATCAAGGCGTGGCATCTTACTGTGGGAGCAAAGCCCGAAGTGATGCAGGTCACAGATGTTTACCACTTTGGTGAAACCATGAGCATGGGTATGGTACCTGACCCTGAAACATAATCAGAACAAACCAGCATTCGAACCCATGATTATAGGTTCCTGGGGTGCCCAAGGGACGCAACTCTGTAAAGCCCATTGTGGTGTCTTAGACGACTTTGCTCCATGTTGAATAGAGTGTGTATTGATAACTTACATTAGTCTCTCATTCAGCTCCTGAAACAATGATATCCAAAAACTTGCATCCAATTCTACATTACTTTAACAAGTCTTGATTTCTTCACTTTCCTCAAACTGACTTCGGACATCTTTCTATGATGTGTCAAAAGACAATTTAACAACAACAGCCTTATAATGTTTTTATTTCAGAGGTTAACTGTTGAATCAGACTCCCATGTATGGAACTATTTTGATGATTAGCTGCTATATCTCCTTCCTCTCTGAAGATGCCGGTTAGAATTTGTCTTCAGCAGCCCATGCTTGTCGTAAGAGGTGACTAACAGGATCGGGTGGTCAGGCTCGCTGACTTGGTTGATGCATGTCATCGATCCCAATTTGGTGGATTGATGCTCATGATGTCAATCACTGGATTGTGAGGTCCAGACTTGATTATTGACAGACCGCCATCATATAGCTGGAGTATTGCTGAGTGTGGCTTTAAATAACAAACAAACAAACAAAAACCTCTGATTAGAGAAACAGAACTTGGGAGCAACGATCCATGCTGTCAGGGTGCGGGATGACCGCTATCAACCCCAAGTCACGGAAACTGACCTCCCGATCTAATTACTAGCCTCTAGTGACCAGCATAGGTTGCTGGGAATCCCTTGGGGGCAGAATCGGTGTTTATAAAAAATTGGGGAAAGAAGTCTTTGTAAGTCAGAAGATGGAATGTTTTTTGTAGGAAGTCAGAAAGTTTAATTGGCCAAAGACATGCATACTCAACATGCTCAACAGTCAATAAAGAGTTGGCAGGGTCAGCTAAACATGCCAGTATTGGTGTCAAGTTTAAATGAAATCAGTAAAGCTGATCAACCACACGACTAGTTTCAAATACAGAAAACAAACAGTTCTGATGGCACTGTTTCTATTGTTACAGGACAAAGAACAGAAGACAAACTAATTAACTGTAAGACTGACTGAAACCAAAGCAAATAAACAATTATAGTGGTAGTCATTGTTT